GACAGAATAAGACACACACAACATGCATTCATTATTCAAAACTATGATAATATAGAACATTTTTACAGCAACTTGTTCGCGTGGTTTTCTATCCATTTAGGTATACCACAGCGTAGATTTTGTGTATAACCTTTCACATAAATCGAAGATCAGAAGATCGCCGTGTTGTGATCCTCACATTTCTGACGACATTAAACGCATCTCTTCTAGCTTCCCTCCCGTTCGAAGCGCTACTCAGCTGCCCCTGTGCTGTTTACATGTGTGTGTGTGTGTGTGTGTGTGTGTGTGTGTGTGTGTGTACGCGCGCACGCTCGCGAGTATACATATTCAATAGGTTCACTCCTGTGCAGAGTTGGTCAACTAAATCAATACATCCATTCACGTTCTCCATTCATGTGAGTAAAACCCTTACTTTGGAAAAAATATGCCTTTAGATTGTTAAAGTAATCCAAATAGCTAGTTGAATACATGCACGCATTATATTTCAGAGGATAAATGTATTGTAGCTGAAGTTAAAGCATGTAAGCGTTAATTTGTGATGCGTATAACTTCAGACTTCAGAACTGATGTGAGCACCTACATGAAATGTCACCAGACTCATGATGAGTAATGCCTCCTGGACTGTTTGGACCTTTCCTCCATCACTAACATATTACCCAAACTACACACTGTTGCACTGGGCTCATACTTCACCCAGGTTTGAACTTGACTCTAACAGTGCCCAGATGGCTGCACCAAGTGGGATAAGGTTTGTATAATGTACTACTTAACTGTGCTCTCTCAATTTTAACATTGCTACTGCAATTTTAACTTACTTAATATTAAGCACTGGAGATTCTTCTTCTTGTGACAGTTAAGATCCTGTTTACACTGATCCACAACTGTATTTCACTTTTTGTTTGTTGGTTGTAAATTAATGTTCATTAAATGTAAAGTTATCTACGAAGCTCATGCTTTACTACTCATGATTTTAAGGACCACATCTTGTTGTAAGTAACAATAGTAAGATTCACAGTACTGTAACAATACAAGAACACATTGATTTAAAGGTACAGTGTGTAGAATTTAGTGATATCTAGAGGTGAAGTTATATGTTGCAGCTGAACACCCCTCACCTCACCCTCTCCTTCCAAACATGAAAAAGAAACTGTGGTAGCTTCAGTTGTCATAAAAACTCAAAAGGTGTTTAGTTTGTCCTGTCTGGACTAATGTAAAAAACATGGCAGCCTCAGTAGAGAGGGTCCCCTCAATGTAAATATAAAGTATTTAAATATAAAGGGCCTTTTCTGGGATAAATAAAACTACAATTCATGCAATTTAGATGAAATGAACTAGTGAAAACATCATGAGGATTATTCCACATTCAATTTATGCCAATAGATCCCTTTCACCAAAATCTTACACACTGGACCTTTAAGTGTTGTCTGATTTTTTAACTATAATTTCTATTTTAGTTTTAATCACATTGATCATTGACAATTAAGAGGGATATTAGTTGATACTTTCCCTATGTGTCTTGTAACAGCAGAAAGTCAAAGGCAACAAAGAATAAAGAACAAAGTTCTCTTAGTCTGTCATCTCATTCAGGAAGCTGAACTGTAGGTGGTTTATTGACATCATCATCACAACTCATGAACAAATTTGAGATGCTGTCATGCAGTGTCTCTTCTCCAAACATGAGGTCTTCCCACTGACTATATTGTGTGAAGATACAGTATTACATAAACAAAATTATGTCTTAAATATTCTTCTCTTCATTGTATATCATAAAAATTATAGGAGCCACATATGTATTCTTGTATTTGCTTTCACATGCACACTGCATTGGCACATTGGTAGAAGGAGACTCACTGTAGGTGTGACATTTTAAGGATTCTATGTCAGCCGTCACCATCAGGAAGGGGAGAGCCTGGTTGCCTCTGCCGTAGATGCGCAGCTGTATGCCCATCATGGTTGCCTGTAATTAGACACCATTGTCCGAGGAGCTGTCTCTCCCTGCCTTCCTGTGGGGCACTGATCAGAGAGGTTGCACCAGCATGTTTGCCTTGCCATGCCCCGCTCCCTCAGTGAGGCCCTCCGTGAAGCTGAACGGTGATGCTCTCCATTCGGCCTACCCAGCAGAGAGCCCTACTCTCCAACCATACATAAGGATGGCTGACTGCAATGTGGAGGGGAAAGAGGATGAAGAGGCCTGTCAAGCAGTCCCAGCGATGGTTTCTAGGAGACTGCTGTGATGAGCCTGGCCATATCACATGTAACTGGCCAGCCTCCCGGGGCAAAAAGTGAGACAATGCCTGTGATGCAGCCTTCACTCGACTCAAGGCAACCCTCACTGATCTTGGCCTACCCTGGTGCCCAGCAGCCCTTCATCATGCCACCGATGCCAGTAATGTGAGGATCAGAGCTGTCTTTTCCCAGCAGGGAGGAGATGGGGAACATGCCTTGTCCTACTTCAGCCATACCTTAAGTCGGGTAGACAAGAACTGCTGCGTCACCTGTTGTGAGCTGCTGGTGATGGTCCTGGCTCTATGACAATTCTAGGCTGTACCTGCCTTGCAGCCGCTTTCCCCTCCGCACTCACCATGCATCACTCAACTCATGGCTCATGAATTCTAAAAACAACACCAGCACAGAGGTGGAGAGGTTCCCATTGACCACCAAACAACTGAGGCAACAGCAGGAGGCAGACATGACCCTTGAACTAGTGGAAGGGTGGTTAGAGGCACGGCAACTCCCTGGCTGGACAGAGATGTCCATGCTGGGGCCTGAGGTAAAAGCCTACGACTTTCAGTGGGGCAATTTGGAGCTCCATGATGGGGTGATTTACCAGAGGTCGAAGCCATGCCATCAGGCATACAGAGCACACTGGAAATCACTCACAAAAAAAACAAAAAAACATTCACTTTCAAAACTATTTCCAAATAATAACCCTGAGTGGATGTTAGAATCCCACTGATTTGTGAAGAGGAAACAGGTCATCAGTGATCACGGATATTTTTTGTCCCATGATGATGACTCATCAGCTGATACAGATTTCAGTCCAGCATTACACAGATCGACCTGAAGGAACCGAACCTGTACAAACACAAGTACTTATCACTTCTGTGGTCACCAAGCAACCTGTAGTTCTTCACCTCCACCTCACAAACACCTCAATGTTGGTGTCAGAGCGTTGCTCTTTTTCTTTCATGGCTGGATGCCATGACTCACTAGAGAAACCCATTAGTCAGCAGGTTAATTTAATATTCATGAGGGTCTTTGCATCGACCATTTATGGTGGAATGTGGACGTGAAGAGGGCGGACTTTGAGGTAGATCCATGTACGCACGTTTCCAGGTGGAGTGTCATTTATAAAGAGAACATTGCTTTCGGGGTGCGTGTGAATGGTTTTTATAAATCTGAATCTTTTTTTGCGTATGCCGTTTTTGGCTTTTGCGCGCACGTATGCTTTTTATAACAATGTTAATTTTCACATTCATAACAAGTAAAAGCTGAATACATTAAAGGATACGAAAAGGAACTAAATAAAAACAAACAGACAAACACCAGTAAATAAGTAAATAAAAACAAGAATAATATTCATTATGAAAAAACCCTGCAACATGATTGCAGATACCCCAGGATCTTCATAGTTCAAATGCAGTTCCCAGAATTGATCTGTTTTCACATTCAATAAACATGTAAGGTAGTCTAATGGCACCAAGTCCAGAAGCACTCAACGCCAGCCCTCAACAGTTGGCACCTTTTTATTCATCCACTGTGGCAAAATGTTCTTCCTTGCAGCATAGGTAAGAATGCAATATAATCTCATTGCTTTTTGAATCTACTTGAGAGGCGCAAGTATGTTTTTATCATGTTTTTTTATTTTCTTAGTATACCTCATTCTTATCATTTTCTTTTTATTTGTCTTTGTATGGAGTGGCTGGCTGAACAAAAAAAGTGCTGCTAATAGATGCACTAAATGAATGTGTGTGTGAATTGGTAATTGGCAAGCTGTGGTGTAAAGCGCTTTGAGTGGTCATCAAGACAAAGCGCTATATACAGTAAATACTACCATTTGTCTGTAATCAATTACATTTTATTTATATAGCCCATATTCAGAAATCACAACTTGTTTTTGTATTTAAGTAAATTGAATGTTTCTTATTTTATACTTTACTATGTAAAGCGCTATATAAATGTGATTTATTATTATTATTGATATTATTATCATTATCTCCAGCTCTAAACCCAATATATTTTCCATTTCAGATAAAACATCAGACCAATACCTTGTAGTTTATAGCATGCAAAGACAGTGAGTTAATATACCAGTTTCCATTTTTCATTTAAGGTACATGGGTGAAATAGACGGATTAAAATAATGTATATGATTAGGGGAAAAGTGTGTAATCTATGTGTAATCCTAAATTGACAGTTTTGCTGCGATGACAAACTGAAATTGATTTGCTTTATCTCTAAATATCTTCCCAGTTTTCATCGTCAATTGTGACAGAGGGTTCCTTCTCCCAGGTGCCCTTAAGCCCCTACAGATGCAATACTAAAAGCCTTATGAAATAAACTGACAGACATCCTTCCAGCTGTTTCAAATATACATTTTTCATACTTTAGGGTTGTCAATTATTGTTGTTGTATATATTGTATATGTTCACATGTCATTTTCATATCATCACAAATAAGTCCTCCAGTTGAACAATGCCATATATAACCCACTGCTTAAACCCAGCATCCAACAGCCCAGGCTGAAAATCAGGATTTTTCACAATGGGGGTAAAAATAGATGCCAGGTTTGACCTTACCTCAAGACACCACACTCCCGCTGAGCATTACAGGTTTTCACAACTTGCATTTATTGTTTTAAATTCTTTAAAAAGATAGCAAGTCCCTCTATATGCAATACATTTTTTTTAAAATAACATATAATATAAATACAGAAATAAAAATAAATTCATATCTCACATTTACTTATTATAATATTTATTTCTCTTTATATTTCCAACTTTATACATATACTCATTTATTATTTTATTTATTCCTCTTTGTATTCCCACATGAAGCATGATAGCAAGCTTCAAAGTTTGCCACAAATATCAAAAATCTCACCCAGACACACCTGAAGAAGCCTTGTTACATCAGGTTGTACACTGAGTTTAAAAAAAAAATGAAGGTCAAATGAACATGGAATACCTGGTTTTAACATCTGTTGTGAGAGATCCAGTCAGAAGTGGCCACCAGCTTTGTACGTGAGTTCCCACTTGGCATTAGAACTTGTTCTGTATGTGTTAATTGAGTAGGCAGGCCTTCAATGTGGCCCAGGACATATTTGCATTCACACTGCTAAAAGAGTGTGGCCACATGCTTCCTGGACCACCTCAAAATCCAGCCTGATTGGATCTGAATTGAGTCCTTAATGCATGTTGGGTGCGTTTACACCAATACTGTCTGCACTCACACCAATACTGCTTTCCACTGGTGATTGCATCCCACAGGATGAATGGGCCTCATTCACCAAACATTCTAAGGACAACATTTCTTCTTTAAATCCACTTACGCAGTTTTTACGAAGATTGTGACATTCACCAATGTTTTCTTATTTGGGATTTTTTCTTACTGTAAGATCAGAATCTACACTGAAGAGCACTCTATACACTTGATTACTGACATGTTTAAGCAAAAATCATTTGTATTCTTTGATCTTGAGTTGAATGATAGATTTAAATGACCAAATATAATCATTTTTATCCTAAAAAAGACAGGTGTCTGTGCATAATGTTTGCTCATTTTGATTTATTTCTTGAAGTGTGTGGGAGATTTTAAATACATGAATATGTTGGAAAACAGAACAACTATTAACAAAAATAGTCGCCTATCATCATTTTTTACACACTACTTGTGTTAAATGTGCTCAATGTGTCAAATGTTCCATGGTTGTATATACTCAGGAGAGCTAACAGTGTGACCTGAACCTGTGTCTGAACCTGACCTGAGCCTAAAGCAGTTAAAGTAAGCTGCACTGAATTTGTGTCTCTAAAACAATTGGTAATTTTTTACAGATTACAGACATGAGTAGAGTAAAACATCAGACCAATCAACGTGACAGACCTGACCCAAATATAATTTAAAACACATAGTACTGTGTTGTTAATGATGCATTGGTCCAGCTCAGATAACAGATCAGCTTTTTTTTCTATCCAGTGCTGACACCACATAATGTAACAGCTTTTTTCTGCATGTCATCATCTTTAGATTTTCTTTTAGTAACTCATGACTTCTTAGATATCCTTTTCTGTTTCTGTGTGCACAGGCCACTGCAGTCTCATGCCCATTTATGGGCTTTGGCGGGGTGTTTATCTATGCTAATTAGGAACTTACCAAGACGTGTAAGTCATCAATATAAGAATTCAGATGCAAACAATTCTTCTGTTTAAGATTGCATCATGAATCAAGATTTCTTAGGAAACTTCTAAAGGGAGTATTGGTGCATGAGGTGCGATGTTAATACCAGGTCTGCAAGGTCAAACAGACACAAATGAATGTTGTATCAAACCATTCCCTTCATTTGCAATATACAATGATCCAAACTTTATGGTCCATTAAATTGACTTCTTACAATTAAATCTTTGTATACTTTTGAGTTTCACTCTCTACATACCCCTCTCAGGAGGATGAGGAACTGTTTCAGCCACCTGAGAGAGGACTTTGAACTTGGCATATTTTGCTTCACATACTATTCCGACAGGTGAAGAATAGATTTCATTCCCTTCAATAAACACATGAAGCGAAAGGTTTCTGGACCATGGCATGACCAGTCTCCTTGCTCCAACACACCAACCAAAACCTTGACAGATTCATCCAAGTCCAAGTCCATTTTGTCCAGACTGGCTCCAGAAGTATGGGCAGTGTCCTCCTCCCTTGATCTATACCCATGATGATGCAGCATCTGTCAGGCTGTGGTGGTCTATTCCTCCACTGTCAGTTTCCTTTCTAGCCGGTCTAGCTTGGCCAAGTTTTCCTTCAGAAGTTTGGAACCAGGGTTCAGAGACAGGGCTCGCTGGTAGTACATCCTGGCTGCTGCATAATCTCCCTGCATGTGCAGACACACACACACACACAGAGAAAAAAGCCTGTTTAAACATGTTAAACATAATTGAATTAGTTAATAATAATTTACTTGTACAATGCACCTGGTAGACTGTAAGTACCTTTTCCATTCAAATCATTTTTCATTTCAAATTGTCTAAATACATATACTTCCTGGTGTGGGGCGCCAGCAAAATAAGAGTGAATGTAAGTCCTTCAACTTTTGGCAACCACAGGACCTGAGGCTGCTCTTTGGTTGTTGCAGATTTTCCACAGTACACAGCTCTCTGCGCCCAGACACACACTTTTATTTACAGTGAATTCATATTGATTTTTAATCGAATGTTTTTGGGTGACCATCAATGCAGTCTTAGGTACATCCGGCGTCACAAATTTCATTCGCTTTGAGTGGGCCGCTAAAGACATGGCAACTTCAAGGGGAATTTCTTTATAAAAACACCCTTTCATAAGAATAAAGAGGGTAAAGGAGCTTGGTCTGGACCAACCCAATTTACATATTTAGCACCCTGACAAGTGATCAAGGACAAGCTTACATGTACCCAGGGCTTCTCCCGTTGTTGTTATGAGAAACAGAAATGACTAACTGGATGTGGTTTAAGTCATGCCTTTAAAAACTTTCTCTGTTTGCTGTTTCAAAGTGCGGAGAGAGTCCACTGAAACTCCAGAGCCTCTCACTTGGACATTTGCATTCACACATGCACCGCCTCCGGAAAAAAGAGCTCAGTGGATGTCTGAAAGCAGCTTCTGTCTGTATGCCCCCTCCATTTCATATTTATGTGTCGATGGAGCATCGGTTGTCACTTCTTCTGCAACAATGAAGTTGCGTCAGAAGAACTTCTCTCCTGCCTGCAGCCTGTGTATTCGCTCATCTCTGTCGCTCTGCACGATCAAATTTATTTAGTTATTAATCGATGTTGTCATGAATCTGAATTGTTCCAGTCCCTTTAATCCCACGTCTTTTGTTTTGAGCCGATGGACTGCATGTGTGCATAATGTTAAACTTTCTTATTAATGTATTAAAATATGTGTCTCATAAACTCAGTACTGTTCAGGTCCCAATAAATTCTGATAAGTGTTGTTTATTGCTAAAGTGGAAAGTGAGCGCAGGTAAGTAGGAAAGTGAGGAGGGAGGACATGTGGCACAGTACAAGGACACCAGACCTATAATGTGTGTCTGCCCCAATCCTGAAGGAGCAACAGACCACCACTGCAAAATGAATGGAAAACTCTGCGTACTTAACACTGTACATAGTACTCTTTCAAAACACATTTACTGATGGGTTAGGGTTAGGGTTAGACAAATAATATGATTTTTTTTCCCGAGACCACCCGAAATTTTGCTGTTAAGGGTTTCAAGGGTCTCAGTTGTCATTTAAGGGATTCTATATATTATGACGTTAATGTTCAACCTCTTGCAGTAATGGTAGAACTAATGTTAAAGGTCTCATGTTTTCTAGTGGTCTGTAGAAAAAAAAAAGAAACTGGGTTAATGTGAATGTCATTTGTAGCAAGGGTAGGAGCCAACTTCTATGAAGCATGGACAGTAAGTCTGGCAAACTTGATTGATTGGATATTGGGGCTATATTTTACAAAAAATATTGACATCCTTTTAAAAATTGCTGTATACAATCTATCTACATGGGGTGCAGAAATCTGAAGGGAAGTGGTTTCACACTTTTACACCCCATGATAAAACTGTCACAATCTTCCACTCACTGTGAGTGTGTGAGTTTCAGTCTGAACAAAAACAGATATAGGCCTTTAAGAACTACAATCATTCTACAAAAAAAGCAACTTTTCTGTTTGCATAAATGGTTCTTTCTTAGGGGGTAGCTAAGCACTACCTTAATGTGTTGAATCCCTCCCATATTCATCCAGGCCTGGGACTGATCAGGTTTCAGTTCAACCGCTAGCTTGTAGCTCTAATGGGAGAAAAAGCAAAAGAAGTGGTCACTGAGATTAAATCTAAAGACTTATTGATGACAGTGATACAGTTTATGATTGTTACACCAACTCCAGATATAATGTAACAGTATTCAGATACAGCCAAAGATAGTTTCTTGACAAAGTTATACTAAATCTTGGCATTATGGACGAATTGGCGTGTTGATTTAGTGACCACTGATAGACTGGAGGAGCTGGAGATCGAAGCAGATACTTAAACGTTAGTAGACAACCAGCTGGATACCCTGAGCCACAGCAGCCCAAAGGAATATGTAATACTTACTTGTTTCTAGTTTTGATAATTGGATGAAAGCTCTCAATGTAAACCATTATTACTCCAGTTTATGGATTTAAAGCTCCATAACTTGTGGATCCATCACTTTCTATGATTCAAGTCATTATCAACACATTCTGCCAAATTAACACCCACAGCTCTCAGAGTTGTGATGCAGAGTTTCAGTAAATAAGCCTTAGACAATGCTCGATCAAATTTAGCTTGTACAATGTCCTATTTACAGTGTTTACACTTGTTCCAAACAATCCAACTCAAAGGCAGAGTGAAAATGGTTTTCAGAGAAAGTGCAAAGAAGTGAAATTATTAAGACATGTCAGATTGTCAGGTTGAGAAAATTACAAAAATAATTTGACAGCTGGAGGGTAATACCTGAGCTTCAGTTGTACTGTAAGGCATATTGCTACTATTTTTGAACAGTGGTGAGGAATTTGTGACCCTCTTCACACATTACATCTGGCTCAGGGACTTCATATCTAATTCAGATATGAATTGGGCCTATTGGACCTGGAACCTGAACATGTTACTATTGCCAGGCCCAAACCTGGCCGCATCTCTCCCCGTTGCAGTTTAGGGAACAATCAACTGCTGTCAGCAGTAACATCAAGTGAATGTTCAACCAGATGAGATTACTGTCTGTATACTACAAACCAAGTCCAAGTGGCAGTCAGACACATCCCCTCTTCAGCTGGGCTGGGCAACTGTGATGATGGTTATTGATCCTAAACTTCCTAGAGCAGCATGGCCTGAGACTGCACCTAGTGTATGTCTGACCCATGAACTATCTCAGCTGACTTTCGACTACGAGCTTGTAAGACTGCAACTCTGCCTCTAGATCTCAACTCTGTACTGTTAGCCCTAAACCATCCCTTAGTTATGCTGCTGTAGGCCTAGACTTTCTCTCCCTCTCTCTTAGTACAACTTTTTTTTTTAATATAATGTATTTAAAAAGATTTCTTGTATGTATGTACAGCGAGTGTGTATGGGTTAGGGTTAGTCTGTCAGGGTTAGGGCTAACCCTAGGGCTAACCCTAATCCTATGTAAAGATATCAGCACAGTGCAAATGGTCAGGAATACACAGGTGATTCACAGTCTTCATGGTGGTTGTTTTTCATTGGGCGCTCTTTTTGGTCACAACTGCTCACAAATCTTGCTGCTGTATTTGCACATTGCTGTATTTCGCTCAGCACATATGGACGTTTTTATTTGTCATCCATGTTTTTTAAAGTCCTTTTGGTAGGCTGTAATCTGTGGGTAGTACCTGTCTCTGATGCCTTGGTACAGTTGGCAGGTGGTTAAAAAGTGGTTACACCGTCTGCTGTGTGCACTGAGTGCACAGTCTTTCTTCTCTGGGGAGCCAGGTCTGCCTGTGGTGGCCTCTCTCCACGGCTAAGCTGTGCTCACTGAGTCTGTACATGATCAAGAATTTGATAGTCATCCATAGTTCTGCTGCTATAGGCCTAGACTGCTGGGGAATCACCCATCAGGCACCAGAAACCAGCACTTTCTCTCTTCTTCTCTCTCTGCCTTGTTTATTTTATTGTATCTTATTACATGTCTCTAATCTTTGGGTCTTCTCCCCTCCTTGGTCCATGCTGTGCGGCTCTCCGGAGCCCGTCCTGGCTTGGGTCCTGATTCCTGATGAGGGATGGACCTAGTGGAGGTCGCCAGTCTGGGTCCACCTGCTGCGCATGTTGGAGCATGAGGGAGGCAGGAGTGCCCGGGGGGACCAACGCGCCCTTGGAAGACCATGCCAACGTCCACGCAGAGATTCCAGGGCTGGATTCAAGCCCATGACCTGAGACTGTGACTCAACCCCACCCTTTATTTCCTTTTGTTCCGCTATTTTTTTTTCCTCTCCTCACCCCAATCGGTCCTGGCAGAGGCCGTCCACACCGAGCCCGGTTCTGCCGGAAGTTTCTTCCACCTGGGAGTTTTTCCTCTCTGCTGTTGCTCATGCTTGCTCTGATTGGAACAAGATTTTGTCTTTTTTAAGATCTTGGACTTTTGGGCAGCACCCTGAGAAAACTGTTTGTTGTGATTCCGTGCTATATAAATAAATTTGATTCATTTGATTGATTACTGCTTATTTGCAGAATAAATCAACCAGGGAGCTAGAGTGCTAATCTTTACCAACAGACTATAGAAAATCTATACTTGCTTGGAGAAAGAATAGAAGAGATAGTGGGGGGAAAGGCAGTGGGTAAGAAGATAAGTAAAAGAGAGTGAAGATTGCGTAATACCTCAAAGGCCTGGTCCAGCTGGTTCATCTCTCTGAGCTGGTTTCCTTTGGAAAAATACAGCTCTGCTCTTACTGTCAGATCACTGGGATTCTGCTGCAGGGCCCTATCCAGAGCATCCAGGGCCTGGCACATACACAGAGTCAATGCACATATAAATACAAAGTCAACACACCAAAACACATAGATAACCATACACATTTTGAGTGTACTTTCTTGCTAACCTATTGAGAGTCACTGCTGGTTTATAACAGAAATTACATAGGGCTCTGTAAAAAACAGTAAGTATTTTGGGTACGAAGGAGCTGAAAATGAAGAAAAGAAAAAGTCTGAACTGACTTAGAGCAGAGTAGTCAGGCAGAACAAGGAGGATATTGATCAAGTAGAAGAACAAAGAATAATGAATATGCTGGAGGTCAAAATTCTAATATAAATAATAGAGAAGTAAAATATCCAAGGACAGGATGAGATTAAATGTCATAGGAGATGCCCAGGGGCCTGTACTACAAAGCAGCATTTGTGCATATCCAGGCATCTTCAGGTTTACATGTTAATAGAAATGTAGTGTTCATGTTAGTGTTCTTTTTGTATTCTATTTAATTTCAATGAGTATCAGACAATGTTTACAAACCTCATTGTGCATTTGTACTCTGATATCAATATACAGTAGGAATTCAATAAAAGTGTTGTACCTGTCATATTCTAAAGATATGAAAATCAGCCTACTTTCCACTG